CCCCCCCCCGCCCCCCGCCATTTGCAAAGAGCTAGGTTCCAATCAATGTGCCTTATGCAAGCAAGATGGCCACTGAAAAAAGGATTGTCCCCGCCTCTGAAGGGAGAGGGGGCCAATCCCTAAGGCATTAGTCGAAAAGGCTGAGGACTGAAGGGGCCTGAGCTCTCCTATGGTTCCTTCTGGACATCTCCAGGTACCATTCCAGGAGGCTCAGGTAATCCTTGAGGTGGCCAGTAAGAAGATAGAGGTTTTTTGTTTTTTAAATATTTATTTATTTGAGAGAGAGAGACAGGGCGGGGGGTGCAGTGGGAAAGGGAGAGAATCCCAAGCAAACTCTCTACTGAGCACAGAGCCCCACATGGGGCTCAATCCCATGACCCCAAGATTACTATGGGAGCCGAAACCAAGAGTCAGACACTCAACTAAATGCACCACCCAGGTGCCCCAAAAAGATGGAGTGTTTATTAGACACAGGAGCCCCTCACTGTCCCGACCCAGCACAGCGGGCCTCTGTCTCGACAATCTTGTATTCTAACTGGAGTAAATGGGCAGCCACAAGTAAGGCTATTCCCTTCCCTTTAACTTGCATCCTGGGCTCTCCTTTGCCTTCACATAGTTTCTTCCTGGTGCCTGAATGCCCCGGCCCCCTGATGGGGAGAGACTTGCTTTTGTAAACTTCAAGCTACACTTCATTTGGAAATGTCAGAGCTGAGAGAAGATGAAAAACATGCCATGTTAGTCAGTTTGACTTTACAATTGGGAGGTGAAAATACTATAACTGATAAAATCCCTCCCCACATCCTCACTAAAGTAAAGCCCACTGTATGGGAAATAGAAATCCCTACAAGGGCTAAAAACGTCTCTCCCATAACTCTCTCCCCTCAAGCAAAGTGTACAATAGCCTTGGGAAAGACCGTATCCTGTAAGACTGGAGGCTCAAAATGGCATTTGGGTTCTGATTAAGAAGCTCTCAAAATATGGATTATTAATCCTTTGCCAGTCACCCTGCCATATCCCCATGGCAGTAACATTTGAAGGTATCTCTAGTTGGGTTCACCCGTCTAGAAAATATTAATAGCAATTACAGCAGGAATCTTCCTTTGCTGTGGATGCTTTGTTGCTGCATGGCCTCCAAATCTAAATATCCTATTCTTAGAATGAGGCCTCATTTGCTTCTCTGAGCCAGACCTTCATTTAATCAGATAGCTCAAGATTTTTATGCCTCCCAATAGGCACGCTCCACCATTCCTCTCAGCTTGAGAAGTTCAAGATGAGACCTTTGCTCTTCAACACCCCCTTAAGAATGAGGAGGATAAAAATCCCACAGCGGGGAGATGAGATAGGAAAGCTGAAGGGACTCCATCTTAGAAAGGCTCTGTCTCTCCTGTTTTTCTGCTAGACCCCACTTATTCACGTTCCATATTTTGCCTCTGAATAAGCCAGAGAAGCCGTGTTCCCACTTCAGGAGGGAAGCAAGAAAGTTAATCCTCCTCTGAGTTTTGTCCAAGGCCCCAAACACCTGATGACATCTAAGAAGATCCGGATCCCAACCATGTTCCAGGATATTAGCTTCAAACCAACCTCGGCTGACGCGGGCATCAATGCCCCCACCTTCGGTAATTTACGGAGTAACACCTATTGTTCACCTGACACCTGCCTTTGGTCGGACCCTATCCTGATTCCCAGAGGAACATGCACCCTAGACTCCTTTCTAGTATAAACTAAGAGTTTATACTAGAATGAGTACACTTGAATGAGACAAGTGACAGTCTCATTCTCCTTTCCTTTCCCCCCAGACACTCCATCTGCTCTGCTCTTCATACACTATTCAATAAACTCTGTTTTCACTTTCTCTGCCTTGTGTTTGATTTCTATTCTCTGTAAAGCCAAGGACCCTCTTGGCTGGTCCTGCAGGACCCTCCTCTGGGTCCCTGGACTCAGCCTGCCTGCATCGTCAACTTTATTCAATGTGAGTCATTGAATCTGGGTTCCAGTTACCCAACCATGGAATCATCAGAATACTCCCAGATGCTGAAGCAGCACATTGAATAAAAAAATTAAATGCATTAATTGCACCAACATTAAGTGCATTAATACATTCACCCTGACCAATATTTATGTTCTTCCCTACTGCACCTACATTCCACACCCATGCTCTATCTCCACACGTATTTTTCAGGTTTCACATGAAAAAGCAAAATATTATAGTTCTTTTATTGTCTAAGACGCCTCCTTCAGGTTTGACCTATTCACTCCCCAGGGCATGCTGGGTTCTGACAAAGGATGAGAGGGTTGGAATGCACAAATAAGCTTCCTTTTGCAAGACTGATCCCCACAGATGTGGGTATTTCAGGGTCTTTACTATTTTCCCACCAATGCCTTAACGTTTCCTTAAGAGATCCGATATGCCTCCGAATTCAATGGATAATGTAATCCACTAAGTTGTGGGATCAACCTGAGCATTTGATTTTCAGCTCTAAGCCTCATGGCTCCAAGAGACAAGCAGTTCTTTTAGCAGTCCTACCAATCCTTAATTTTCAGCCAAGGCTTTGAGATGAAAATATAAACACCTGAACTCATCTTTCTTTAAGCTCTCTAGTACTGTAGTCAGCTCACGCATTTGAAATCCTCATGTGTTTCCTACTATTCTACAGCAGCAACCCCTTCAATGAGGACTTCATTCCTGGGGATAATTTGCGATATTTTATTATTATCATTTTAATTTGTGATAGTTTAGTTAGCAGTATTGCCACTGTGTGCTGTGGACTGCCAAATTCATGCCCCTTAATAGGAGTTGGCTTTTCCTTGCCCTCAGCCTTTACTTACTAACTAGGGTAGAAAACTAGTCCCCAGATTCCCCTTATTTTCTTGAAAGTCTGTTGCCTATGACCACTTCTGGCACTGCTTTCTGTATCCACCAGTGTTTTTTATTCCTACGTAGCAGAAGCCAACCCTGGCCTTCTTAAGCAGAAAGGAAATTTGTTGAAAGTGTATTGGAGACAGAAAGCAAAGAGATGCTCAGAAACTGGTAGGGCTATGTGGCCAGTCTTTGGGTGACATGGGAACTGGTTTAAAGGGGCTCCCACTCCAAAACATAGGCCTCTGAGAGCCAACCAATCAACACCAACCTCACTCAAAAGACCATATATGGATGACAACATCCCATTCACACCGCTCAAAATCTGCCCATTCCTGAAATTCTGGCTTCCTGAAAAACCCCATATAAGACCAGTAGTCTGGGGGCACCTGGGTGGCTCAGTTGGTTAGGCGACTGCCTTCGGCTCAGGTCATGATCCTGGAGTCCCGGGATCGAGTCCCGCATCGGGCTCCCTGCTTGGCAGGGAGTCTGCTTCTCCCTCTGACCCTCCTCCCTCTCATGCTCTCTGTCTCTCATTGTCTCTCTCGCAAATAAATAAATAAAATCTTAAAAAAATAATAATAATAAGACCAGTAGTCTGAGAAGACAGGGTGCTCCAAGAGACGTTGGGTGGGGGTCCTGAGGGATATATCAACATTCAATTATTTTGAAGAACTAGGAAGAAGATCGCAGGATTAAGGAAACAATCTGCACAGTTGGAGTGAGAGAACGTGGCAGACACAAGGCTTGACTTGACAAAGAAATCAAAGCACACCTACATAAAGGTCGAAACACTCCCCACTATTAGCAAGGAGGAACTCTGTAGAGGAAGGACCGGTGGGAAAGAGCAGCCAAAACACAACAGCAGAGTGTACACAGCTACACCAGAAACACTTTCTGAAGTTTTCATTTTTGTTGTTGTTACAGCTGTTTTTCCTGTTTTTGTTTTGTTTTTACTTTCCTCCTTTCTTTTCTGGACACCATGACTAGAAGGAGAAATTTGCTGCAAAATAAAGAGGTAGTACTCTCTGCCATGGATTTAATCAATATGAATATAAGATGTCTGAATTAGAATTTAAAACAACAATTATAAAGATACTAGCTGGGCTTGAAAAAAAGCATAGAAGACACTAGGGAATCCCTTACTCTAGAAATAAAAGAACCAAATTCTAATCAGGCCAAAATTAAAAACGCTATTACTGAGATGCAGTCAAAAATGGAGACTCTAACAAGTAGGATAAATGAGGCAAAAGACAGAGTCAGTGACATAGAAGACAAAATGATGGAAAGTAAGGAAGCTGAGGGAAAAAAAACAACTACTGGATCAGGAAGAGACTTCGAGAAATCAGCAATATGATGAATCGAAATGATATTCGAATAATAGGGATCTGAGAAGATGAGGAAAGAGAGAAAGGGCCAGAAGGTTTATTTGAACAAATTATAGCTGAGAACTTCCCTAATCTGGGGAAGGAAACAGGCATTCAACTCCAGGAGGCACAGAGAACCACCCTTAAAAAATCAATAAAAATAGGTCAACACCTCAACATATAATAATGAAGCACGCATATCTCAGAAACAAAGAGAAAATCCTGAAAGCAGCTTGGGACAAGAGTTCCATAACCTACATGGGTTGAGACATTAGACTGGCAGCAGACCTATCCATAGAGACCTGGCAGGCCAGGAAGGACTGGCATGATATATTCTGGGTGCTAAATGAGAAAAATATGCAGCCAAAAATATTTTATCCAACAAAGATGTCATTTAAAATAGAAGGAGAGATAAAGAGTTTCCAGAACAACTAACATAACATTAAAAAAAAAGTTGCCAGGACAAAAAACAAAAACAAAAAAATCCAAAAAACAAAACTAGAGGAATTCATGAATCCTAAACCAGCCCTGCAAGAAATATGAAAGGGGATCCTCTGAGTGGAGAGAGAACCCAAAGGCAACAAAGACCAGAAAGGAACAGAGACAATCTACAGAAACAGTGACTTTACAGGTAATACAATAGTACTAACTTCATATTTTTCAATAATTAGTCTGAATATAAATGGGCTAAATCAAAAGACATAGGGTATCAGAATGGATAAAGGAAAAAAAAAAAAAGACCCATAGATAGGCTCTCTACAAGAGACTCATTTTAGACCCAAAGACGCTCCCAGATTGAAAGTGAGGGGGCGGAGAACCATTTATCAGGCTAACGGATATCAAAACAAAGCTGGAGTAGCAATCCTTTATCAGACAAACTAGATTTTTAAACCAAAGACTGTAATAAGAGATGAAGGACACTGTATAAGAAAAAGGTCTATCCAACAAGAAAATCTAACAACTGTAAATATTTATGCCCCTAACTTGGGAGCATCCAATTATATAAACCAATTAATAGGAAAATTAATGAAACAAATTGATAATAATACAATAATAGTAGGGGACTTTCACACCCCACTCAAAGCAATGGACAGATCATCTAAGCAGAAGATCAACAAGGAAATAAGGGCTTTGAATGACACACTGGACCAGATGGACTTCACAGATATATTCAGAATATCTCTTCCTAAAGCAACAGAATACACATTGTTCTCGGGTGCACATGGAACACTATCCAGAAGACATCACATATTGGGTCACAAATCAGGTCTCTACCAGTACTAAAAGATTGAGATTATTCTCTGCATTTTCAGACGTTAATGCTTTAAAACTTAAACTCAATCACAAGAGAAAATTTGGAAGGAAGACAAATATATGAAGGTTAAATAGCATCCTACTAAAGAATGAATGGGTCAACCAGGAAATTAAAGAATTTAAAAAATACATGGGAACAAATGAAAATGAAAACACAACAGTTCAGAACCTTTGGGATGCAGCAAAGGTGGTCCTCAGAGGGAAGTATATAGCAATACAGTCCTTTCTCAAGAAACAAGAAAAGTCAAATACACAACTTAACCTTACACCTAAAGGAGCTGGAAAAAGCATAGCAAATAAAGCCTAAATGCAGCAGGAGAAGAGAAATAATAAAGATCAGAGCAGAAATCAATGACATAGAAATCAAAAGAGCAGTAGAACAGATCACCAAAATCGGAGCTGGTTCTTTGAAAGATTTATAAGATTAATAAACCCCTGGCCAGA